GTCACGATTTTTCACGGGAAAAAAAACATTTTTCTTTTTGCGAAAAAACAAATTCGATACAATTAACGGATAGTCTTTGCAGATTTCACGTGAGTAGTGAGATAACGTTTGTTTTTTCTTTGTTACTAAAAAAAGCAGACAGAGGAAGAAGCGTCTATTTTGATTTTTGAAGAATCGCTGTTGCACACAAAAATGCAAATCTGAATCGGAAAGATGAAACGGAAGATTGTAAACTGAGAAAGAATTGTTTCAACACAATTGAACGAGACGAAAGAGAGAAAGATCAGCAAAAAATTTACAGTCACAGTTTTGAGAAGATATTAGTGCTTGGATAGAGTAGGTCCGAATGATCATTTGTTTCGCGTGCAACTCGAAATTTCGGTCGTAGATTCACGCTATTCTGTCTCGCGAATTGTTCTCGAGATTCGACACAATTTTGATTTCGGTTTTTTCATGCGTTCACACATTATGATCCTTTCCACCTGCCCGAAAATTTTCACACATAAAATATATATGCCGTTTGACAGAACTCAGAAAACACCGTATATACGTCAAGATAACGTACATACGTCTGGCTATCGCAAACAAACTTGGTAAAAGTACCAATTTTAGCGTGCGTCGGTTGAACCACAAACGTTAACAACAATTAACGTAGCATATCTCGATGTATCTGCACATTTGTTTTGTTTTGTTTTTTGTTTTTTTTTTCTCAAATGAATTGCGACATCTGTACGCGTTAATTTTTTTCGCGACACGTTCCTCGAATAAGATAATTTTACGTACAAGTGCAGAGAGAAATGATGTCAATAAACATAACTCGCACACTCGGATTGTCGTACAAAACATTTGAATTTGCTTGTCCACGTCTAATTATATCGATACTTGATTTGTTTTCGCAGATAATTCACGGCTGATAATTCATTGCGTGCGGACGGTTGAGGTGCAAATTTTCGGTTTCACGAGGCAGAACGTCGAGGATCCGCGCGCGAGGAGCCGAAAGCTTGAATTTAACCGCGACTTTTAGCGTAGTCTATCGAAGCACCAAGATCACGTGCCAGGATAACAAAAAACCGAAACTATACTCACCATCGTGAATAGTGACGCTCCGATCGGATCTGCGACAGAAAAACAAAGGGGCGATCGCCGATTAGATACGATGATTGCGGTCCAACTTCCTCTCCTTCTTCTTCTCTAATCCTCTCCTATCTTCGAATCCTCCTCGACCGTGACCGAGAGACGGTCGATGGCCGAAGGAGACCGTGACCTCTCTCTGTACGTTGTTCGCAGTGTTCTGGTCATTGCAGCTCGAACGGGCCCTTATATACTCCATCGAGACCCTTCGTGTGCTCGCGTGCACGTGGGGGTTGACGGGGGCTCTCGAGGGGATGGTCCTGGGAAAACGGTTCGGGCGCAACGTTCCTTTTCAGGTGCGGCTTCCCCTCTTGCCGTCTTTCTTTCTTTCGCCGAAGGAAGAGATCGCACGCGAGAGAACATCCCTCGTTCTGAACACGTTCCTTTACCTGTTTCTCAGCGCGTGCAACGCGCGGCCGACGGTTTCTTCTGGGGGTTTCTGCCCTAAAGCGAGCGAGGGGTGCCAGTCACCCCTGAAATCACGAGAAGAGAATGAGGAGCTCCAGGTGTCGTCGGAAAGATAAGCCTACACTTTTGAAAATTTCGGCCGAATCTTCGTCGGTTACGTTCGTAGCGCGGAGGAAACTTCCGTGAGATACCGTGTGTGCGTGAAAAATATCTCCAGCTGGAGTAACGCCGAAGAGATGAGATCTATTCGTGTATTGTGTCAGAGTTTGTCGAGGCAATTTTAAAATAAAATTCAAAAGATCTGAATGTTATTTGTTGTTTACTAATAAAAATGAAGAAAAATTCTTATCTTATGATCTTTCGACATGTCTTTCCCTTAATTAAGAAACGGGAGATAATTATATCACCAAGAATATTAGACTATGCAATGTAAAAGTAGTATCGAGAGTTTTTAAATCTCCGAGTTAAAAACCAGACGTCACATTTCTCATTTTAAATACCCGGGACGTTGTATTGACGATCAGAGTTAAAACTCGTCGATCTTAATGTTGGAGAGAAGAGGAAGATTTATTATTGCCGCGAAGACATAAAACAAAGCATAAATGTTTTGTTTTTTGAAGCGACTGTTACACTTTTTGTCCGTTATTCCTTTGCATATGATATATGACGCGTAAGAGATACCGGTTTAACGTTCGTGTGTCGTAGCAGCTAAATCGATTCCCTTTTTTGCATATCTCAACCGATTTCTTCAACCCTTTAATAGGCACGGATCCAGTTATGTAAGTTTCATCCGTTGACCGTTTCTCTCTCAGCAGACAGTTATCTTCTTTCCTTCCACCCTTTTCGAACTTATCGTCAATAGTAAGCGCGCGCGAAACTCGTCGATATAATATAAAAAGAAAGAACTTCCTGATATCTTGTGAAATAGTTTACTCGGCTTTCTCACGGATGCTATTGAAATGTTTTCTTTGACGAGAAAAAAAGAATACATATGATTCAGATAATTTTTTAACTTTTAAACGGGAGATCCTTCAGGACCTTAGGTAGTTTTAAACTTTGTGCAAAGTTCAACAAGTAAATTTCGTCTTAAATATTTTAGTTAATATAAATTTGAAGATTTTTTAATTTTGTTCTTAAATAAGTAAATAGTTCAGAAATATATGTGCGATTATTTTTTAAAAACTATTATAATTTCATAATTCCTGATGTAGGATAAATTGTAAGAGAAAATCTTCTCAATTTTATTTAATTTCTAATCATTAGTAATTACTAATTATACAATAATGGAAAAATCTTGTTTCTGGGAAAAGTGTTGAAAGCCCGTATTTTAATATATAATAGCGCAAGTATCTTATGCGTCATAGTGGCTGTCGAGAGATCAAAGTGATGTGGCGTGCATGATTTTTCAGAAAGCATCAACACGCGCCACCCGCAGCACATACATCACACGATACGGTTTCCCGATGGGAATTGATTTGTCGACAATTCGAACAAGATCGACGATGAATCATTTGGCAAGAACAGTTAAGTGAATTCTCGTCAACGCGCTATACGTTACTATGCGGGTACCGACTAGTCACTGGGGGAGATTATATTGAGATAATTGGTTAATGACCAAGTTCTGATCTGTTATTGTAGCGTAGTCGGAATAATCCAAAAATACAATGACCAATTCAAATTACGCACGAGAAATAAAAAGGAATTCTTGACGAAATTTATTAGTCAGTTAAACGCCGTTAAAAGTGTTATATAAAAAATTCACAAATTTATCTAAGTTACAGATGTATTAATTTTCTTATAGTTTATTTTGCAATAATTTCTTTAATTAAATCTACAGAAAAGTAAAGGAGTTTCTATATGAAGTACTAAGCATCCGATATAGATTTTTCATATTAAATTTTTCAAATTAAATTCGAATTATAATTAAAAAACAAAATTCTGCGCGTACATTTAGCGCTTATGGCTCTTACTGACTTAATTACTTCTCTTAGTCACTCTATAGTTGAGTATTAGTCTTAATCTTACAAGTTGCACGATTTGAATATATTTTTTTTAATTAATTTATACGAGAATTTATCTAAGAAGAAAATCTTTGTAAATTTTTAATTATTCGAATCAATCTCTGTTATCAAATACACACAAATGTAGAAAAAAAATTTGTTCACAGTGCAAGAAAAACACTGGAAATGACAATTATTTAATATGATCGTAACACAAGCGCGCGATCTTAAATAAAATCAAAATTCCTCATTTCCTTCTCTTCGAAAATTAACTTTTCCGTTCAGACACGATTCAATCGAATTGGTCTTTATTTTGGATTACTTGTTATTTCCGATAAGGCAGATGGCCGGAAGTGTCTACTTTCTCGGTACGGCGCGGATAGTTATTTATGCAACATTTAACGCGCTATACCCTATATAAGGGGGGTGACCGCCAAATCTAGGGTGGGAAACGAATACATGCTTCGGCATTTTCCGCATCCCCCTGTGTATTCTCACGCAAGCGTCCATACGAATAAAAAGCTACCTGTACAATCGTGTCGTTTTTCAAACAGGTACATACACACATATGTGTACGTGTGTGACTTGCTCGTACTTGCCTACACCGTATGATCTCATTTGTCCGTGACATCATTATTGTGCAGAACGCGTGATGTATAATAACGGCTTTGATGATTTTCTTAGAGAGCAATAATTGTTTTTCAGGTTTTACAAAAGCAATATCAATCGCGATATATATTTTACTGCATTTCTTTGCGTCGTTTCTTTTTTGCAACTTTCGTTTTAGAATCTACAAAACGCTATGTATAGTTTCTTTACTCTTATCGGATTTTGCAAATATATAATTTATTATTTTAATGTATATTACGTTGCATTTTTGGAAGAAAACAATAGCTACTTTTTTCGAATTGCCTTTTACGGTAACGCAAAGTAATTTACAATTCTCTGTAAGGTTTCAGAAAAAATTTATAGAAATTTATATAAAGCTATTTCTCTTTCTCTCTCGTTTTGTATAGGTAATTCGGTATGAGCATGACGAGCAACGAAGGGGGAAAGAGAAATATGTATGTACTATTCCTTGAGCCCTTCGACCTCTCGACCCTTTAGGTCTCTCTGACCCTGATCCAGACTATGAACGCTATTGCACAATCGCCTGTTTTTCGCCCGTACATTTCTATACTCACATCTGCCTTATGTTCTCACGCTATGTTCCTTGCAGCCTAGAATCTTCGAGCAATGACGACGCTCTTATTTCGAATGAAGGGATTAAAACTACCAATAGACATTTTTTTAAATACTCTTCTAAATTTTTTTACGTATACATATTGCCTTTATAAGTATTAGAAAAGTTTAAAGAATTTTTCTTCAATATGTGCCAAAATGTATTCTTTTTTTTTTATAATAAGAATACTACAAGGATATGTAATATCAATTATATTCGAGTGTTTTTAAAAATATACAAATTTATTACATCATATAAATTATATAAAAGATTGTAAAGATAATTGCATATAACTCATTTATGTAAAAAAAACTACATGAGTATTTTTCCCAATATTTTTCAGTCACATTAACCATAAATTTCTCTCAATAGCAAAGTTAAATATGTGTGAAAATTGCACCTCTCTCCACAATCATAAATAACATTTTAAAATTCCCAAGATTCCATCCACCTTAAATGATGCATCGAGCTGTCGGGATCCATAGCGGACGGGCCGTCCATTCCGTAAGCCAACGGCGAGAACAGATAAAAACTGCAGGAACAGACGAGAGATCAAAAGATTTCGATAAAATTTTTTTCGCAAATACATGCATTACGAATTTCTATTTTTAACAACGTCTACCTGTATATAGTGCCGGAAATTACGGTACCCAAAATAACGTGGTAAATCGTATTGCCCACTTTACTGGGAAACAAGAGCAAGAGATTCTCGATAATGTGATTCAGTGTGATCCCAGTCAGCATGGAGCTGTAAAGCAGCGCTGGAAAGTAATGATGAAAATACAGCACGCGCGTCATCGCCCAGAACGGCGCGTAATGCAAGATCCATCCCACAAAGAGCCATATGCCGGTGTGCAGTATTTTGCTTCGCTGCTCGAGAATAGCGACGTCGTCGATGCATCCCCGTTGCTCGCGCACGGCAGCGTAGACGTAAAGAATCACATATATCACAAGAAAGATTATGTTTCCCCACCAAATCACAGGATTGCCGAGCAGATATATCCTTTGATTGTTTCCGGAGAAGAATTGCCCCTAAGGACGAGAGGTCGCTCAGCATTCGTCACGCGAGAGCGATGCTTATTTATGTCGCAGGAGAATAACGTAATAATTTACCCTGTAATTTATGGGCCACTGCCACGGTCGAGAGGACACCTCTCCTTCTTTGACTTTCAAATCCGAATTTCCTTGCAACATCACGGCGTGCGACTCCAAAAATCTATCGAGGAAACCCGGCGCGTAAACTTGAAAGCTGACGTTTGGTACTAATGGAAAAATGTACCATTGATAAATAAACGTTATCTTAATTAGCAGTAAAAAACAATTCAAACGGCTCGCTTACATTTTGCGTACTGATTATCCTCGATGTTCCACAATGCGTTTTTGTCTCTCATATTGGGATTGCAGGAAACCTCCTGTTGACTGTATCCCCTGTATTAAACAAAATAATTTACTTTCTGTTTTTTTTTTTATAGTTTTGTACGAAATACAAAACGAAAAAAAAAACATCATTGAGTTATCAACCATTTTGGCAACGTCTTGCCACTGCACGTTAGCACGCAATGATGAAGATAATGCACGAATTTCAATTTGCTCGTCACCGTTTCGACAATGTCACCATCCCTCCCGTTCGTTATCAATATTTTCCAGACATCGTTAGCGTCGCCTGTGCCGTTCTAAACAAGAAGAAAAAATCGCTCAAATTGACAAAGAAATTGTCGTGTACGAATTGTCGCGGATCGTCTTACTTCTCCGTATCCGGTAACTTGATAGTGCTTCTTCGAGATCGGCGCGATCTCCTTGTGCGAGTGTAAATTTCGTCTCGTGATAACGTGCTCCAGACGAATAAGATCGCCGTGTTTAACTAATTCGGGCTCGGCTGGTATCGCGTCCGTGTCGAATTTCTTCACAAGCCACAAATTGTTATCATCCTTGTGAGAATAAGTTGTGATCTGAAATCGCGTTGCGCACTCATAACATTAAGTTTACGATCTTTGTCTCTTCTTAAACAAGTTACTGTGCGTTGAACATTTCGATAATAGCAAACATTTATTATCTCTCTCTTTTTCTTTGTGATTAATTTTTGATAAATTCGTTATACATATATTAACCTGCTGCTGCCTGGCACCGATTCCCTCGGGATACAAGTGCCAGTGGGAGTGTAAATAGCCACCTCCCGTGCGATGATTCTTTAACGTGATGGTAGCGCCGTAAGCCAATTGCCGCGGCATTGTCGCATTGTACAACGAATTTCCACGTAACAGCGACTGAAATTCGGAACTGTAGAAGCCATCGCCACTTCCGCTAAATAAAACACGTACGCACCTTTATCATCGGCTGTTTGAACGTGCGATGGTGATAGTTCTCATGTATACACAGGGTGTTTTAAGAGGAACGAGGGAAAAACGCGTATTAGTTGAGAGCTGACATTAAAGAGGAAGGCGGCACCCTGTATATCGTGACGCAACATAGTTTTCCTTACCTTTTATTCAAAACGGAAAGATGAATATAAAAAAATAGCATGTAAAGTAAAACCGGTAATAGGATGAGACATAAGCACCGCGCTAACAAATGCTTCCCCACATAAGACTGCAAAAAGCAAAATAAAAATTGTTCTCTTTGGAAAACTCTTATATCAATTACATAGATCCTCTTTTAATATCATTATTAAATTAAGAAATTTCACAAGACATTAAACGTTGATTTATTTGCAGCAATGCGAAAACTCACGCTATTTTTTATATTGATATTAAATATTGTCAAGTTACTTACAATAGGTTTGGACAAATCCCCCAACTCTCGCCAAAGTTCGTACGCGGTGTAAAGACCCACAAGCAAGACGACAAAGAGTCCGACGAATTTCACGCTGATCGTGCACGCGAGCGAAGCACCGGTGAACGACAACCATGACCACCAGGGCCACGTGAACGGTCGGTCGCGCAGCGACGCTACACGCGACATGCCCCACGTCGCGCACATCATGAAGCACAATAATATCGGATCCAGAAGAATGTACTGATTCAACGTTAACATGCCTACATCTATCAGAAACGACATGTATATTGTAGACACTAGTGTTAAATTGTGCGCGCGCAAACATATTTCAATTTACCAAACAAAATGAGAAAAGCAGCGAGCGTTGAGGCGCGAATCGACTTGGTAAAGTCCCATACAATAAGATACGACAAGGGTACGGTACTTGCACCCAGAAATGTGCAGAACTAAGACAAAAAATGTGCACAATTACAGTATACTATTTTCAATATCTCATAAGAGATGTATCGTTTTTGATGTTTATTTGAGAGTTCGATCGCACTTACGATTCTCATACCGACGTAATTGACATTCTCAAACTTATCCCCTGGTTTTTCAAAAGGAAATGTGCCATCATAGCCGGTCATGTATCCTGACAGAGCAATAAGCATCTAGAATTAAGATTCTAATTTTGCATACTCAGCAAACATAAATCAGATTTTCTGACAAAAAATTATCTACCTTTCCCAATGGTGGATGCACATCAAAAAAGAACGTTCTGTTTATATACCAACTGCCCATTTTGCCAAAATGTGTCTCATCCCAACTAAAAGCCCGAAATTGATCTACAACTTTAATCTTAAAAATCCTAAGTTAGGTCTAAAGTAATTACTTACCAGACATGTTCAGGTTCAGTGACTTTATAGAACCTGGTAATTAATGTGAGCGCAGTTATACCTCCAAATAGAAGCCACCAATATCTATAATAAAACAAATTGCAGCTTGACTTTACTAATACTTTTTTTGTACATACAGTCGATGTGTGACACATCTAATAAAATTTAAATAAACTATAACAATTATAATTTCTCTTACGCTTCGCTTTCCTCTTTTTCATTTGTTTTCGAAGCTGCCGCGTTTTTCGATTTGCAAGTAGCGTCTTGAGAGTCGCTCACGGTTCTCATTTTTCCTGTCATTGTTGACTCGTAAATTCTATTAGCCTGAATTAAAACAAGCGTGCTTGACGCACAAAAGTACCAAACAGTCGCTCAATTACGTGATCAATCGCATATTTCATGTTACGACAAAATTGTACGTCCAACAACGTGTCCAAATGTTATTCCGCACGGAGTAAACGTCAAAACATGCGTGACATTTTTTCCGTTTTCCATGTACCGTTAGAGTGACATTCCACAGCACGTGTCATTCTCGCGTAACCAAAGAGAAACCCGAGAGCCATCTCATCTTTATTTCTTACGACATTCTCGCGACCGCTGATATCAGCGCCACACATTCTCAACATGTAGGAACTACAGAGCAACATCCACTTTTTCGAACGTAGATAATAATGGTCCCTTAAGGTCCGATCAAGTCCAATTTCGTCCGTTCTTACCGACACTTCAAAACTGACTAACGAATCTCGCAAGGTAATTGTCGTCATGTAATTAAAGTGGCTTGAGAGAGGATTTGTTTGTCAGGTTGATGACGGCACAAAGTAAGAGTAAGGAGATCGAACTCTGTGATACAAAAATGGTCCCGATTGTGACGGTTTATTGGAACTTGGGAGGGAATTAAAAACAGGTTAAATGTAATGTACAATGCGAAAAAATAATATAACATTTAAATGTATATAAATATAATCTGTATGTCATGACATACTTCCTGTATTTATATGTTATATTTTAATTTTTGTCATTGTATAGTACATTTAACTTCTATTTCTAATTCTTATTCCTAATATTTTCTCTATTGTGCTCAGGCCCTAATGCTTTGAAGTAATTGGAAACAAAAGTATATAGATACGCAAAATCGGACGGACAAACTGGTTAGTAATGAAAAAATGTAACCTTGAGTAAATTAATAGTGAAAAAAAAACTAGTATTTTTTCAGGCTCTCAAGTATAAGTAAAAGAAATTCAAAGAAAATGAAGCAAGCAGCAGAAAAATTCAAGTATATGCAACAAAATTTGCATTTAATTGAGCTGCCTTCTCCAAATTGGGGATTCACAACTGGAAACGACACATTTTTTGGTTTTGTGAAGGCAGAAAGTGATTTTAGTGTCAGAAAAAGAATTGTTGTGTTTCCTACCTTACATGTTAACATTTACATAGATGACGAGATTATACCATTTTCGAAATTTATTAAAATATCCAGTATTCGTACACTAAGTGAAATTTTGACAACTTTAGACACACTCTAACGCACATTCTACAAAAGCTACGAATTGTGCATTTCTTAATTGTAACATTTTTCATTAATTTGTATATGAATTCATTTTATAAAGAGAAATAAGAAAATACATAAAATTCCAAGTATATCATTTATGTTGTTTGTTGTATTTTATTTTCATACATATTCTTCATTAAATATATTTTTTATTTAGTTGACATCTGTAATTGAATCATTTAGTTAACCATGCACATTAGATGAGTCCATTTTTGCGTTTTTTTCTTTCAAAAGTTTGAAAGTGCTTTTTTGAAAACCATAGCAACCCTTTGTGGGCCCTTTATGTACCGGTTTAATGTGTCAATGCATGGTAAGGTCATTAAGTTGTGAGTTTGCGAGTGATGATATGTCTTTTTACTTTTAATTCGCAGTAATAAGCATTCATATACCCATTGAGTGGTGTATCTCAAATCCTTAGTATTTTTTACTTTAAATGCTGCGATGCATGCTTGTACTGACAGTTGTTGATTGATAGGAAGTTTTGATTCCTCTACTGCCTGTGTATTTGCGCACTGTGTCCTTATACTTTTTTTTAATTGTAGAACCTGGTATACGAAAAGAAAACATTACCGTACGTTCACAGTATAAGCGACTGAAAAGTATCATTTAACAATTAAATCTTATTGAAGCTCGAGAAGTTACTAAACTATGAAATATATCTACGATCATACGAGCCGATCGCAGGATGTTGTGCGGAAAACTGCGTATATATACATATATATATTTGTTCGCGTGTAAATTTTTACACGCGAGTTTTTTAAATTGAATTTCAATTCTTAAATTCATATCGGATGCCGGATTTGCATCATATATATGAGAGATCCCGTTTTACCTCCTAACTGATTTTTAAAATATTGCGAAAAAATACTCCTCAGCCAGGAGATATATTTCATAGTTTAGTATCATTTAATCTCAAAATGCATCAAAATATCTACCTTTTGGCGGAGTCTCATGTTGAACCGGGAAAACTTTTTATATTTCATACGCAAGGCTGCATTGCTTTTCGTTAATTTTTTATTTTCTGACTTCTGCAATGTTTGTTTACAGTGATTGATGTATTTTGCACATGGAATGCATCTTTCACGCCGCACACCGCGTACTGCGCAATCTCTTGTGACATATCCATAGCAGAAAGATGAACTATAAAATGTATACTTTCAAATAATTTCTGAAGGATATATAAAGTGTGTGTGTATATATTTATATATATTTGGGACAGAGTAAGTAAATGCACATAATTGATATTTAAATAATACAAAAACCTGAAGTTTTACTAAATAAAAAAACAAAATTTATAACATTTTCTTTGCAGTAATACAAATAAAACAAAGTTAAATGTATTATGATAATTAAAACTTTATAAGCATCAAGTTTTTATTATTAACTTCTTTGAAAACTTTATAAGCATCAGGTTTTATTGCCAATTTCTTGCATGGATAAAGATAAGATATCTTTTTGAGAAGACTTTGAATCTGATGTATGCTGTCCACTTTTCCACTGAGACAATCAATTTCTTTTTCTCCAATAAAAACCTGCAGTGTATATATATATATATATAATAGTACATATATTTTAAATATCTATTTTTATACATTTTAAATATCTATTATCAGAAGGATGTACAGCAAGTGTACATCCTTCAACATAACAAAAAAAGATATAAAACATTTGGTATTTATAAGCTTACAATATCACTGATAGTAAATACTTACACAGAAAGTCATATTTGTTTTAAGTACAATACGCCGCACACAGGAAGATAAGTCAGTCTTCAAGCAAACCCACATTGCTGACTCTGCAGTGATAACAGGGATCCAAAATTCAGATGGAAGTTTAAGGCTCTTTAATTTGCCTATAAATGCAGCCCATGTTTGCAATTCATTATTACTTCTGTTTGATAAACTATTATTCACAGACACAAAACTGGGATCATGTGATCCATATGTCTTTGGCACAGAAATTAAAGAATCCACCATAGAGTGTGATTTGGCAATACTTGGTTCTTTAAGCTGTTCTTTTTGTTTCTCTTCATAAATATTGTTTACATGACAGAAACTGATTTTCTCTGGTGGGAACTTGCATGGAACAGCATCTTCCATCAGTTTTGGAATTTTTCGTGGTACAGTTACAACTGAGCCATCTGTCATTTCAAAGACATCTTCTCTCAAAATGTCTTTTTCCATGAAATGCAGTTCACAGATGCGACTTGCTTTACTTAAGTTGTTGATCCCTTTTGTAACCGTCTCACTATTCTGCCAATTGTTGAGCATTTTTTCCTATATATAACATTTATATTATGTTGCCATTGTATCATTTTATTTTAGAAATAATCCTCTACTAATATCTCTACTAATCGCAACTCACCGTCCTAGGTGTAAATAAACTTCTTTTTCTGGAAACTCCTCCTTTGGTCTCACATCCTCGTATCCAACATGCCATAACTGCGGATTCCCTCTCAATAAACCGTCACAATCGGGTATTGTATATGTCACGAGAAGTTCGATCTCTTTTCTTACTTCGTGGGTCAGGTTATGTTTCAAATTGCAAATGGCGTCCAACTGTAAAAAATTATTCCCTTGAGCGGATTCCCTCTCAATGAACCGTAAAGAGCCGTCTACAATGGAGAGTTGTAGGCCGTAATAGTAAGAAATTGACCAAGCACAGACAAAGTACAGAAGAATAATCGATTGTGATTTGTCAATTTCTTACTGTTACGGTCTAAAACTCTCCATTGTAGACGACTCTTAAGGCCTGTTCTACAATACAGTCGTAAGCTGTAAGTCGTAAGAAATTGACCAATCACAGACAAATCACAGAAGAATAATCGATTGTGATTTGTCAATTTTTTACGACTTACAGCTTACGATAGTATTGTAGAACAGGCCTAAGGCCTGGTTTACGCCGGCAAATAAGGCCTTGTTTTGGCCTTGTTTATGCGGGTAATAACTGTTAAGAGCCGTTTACAATGGAGAGTTGTAGGCCGTAACAGTAAGAAATTGACAAATCACAATCGATTATTCTTCTGTACTTTGCCTGTGATTGGTCAATTTCTTACTATTACGGCCTACAACTCTCCATTGTAGGGCTGTGTTCAGTTAAGCAAGATGGAACGAACTAATGCAGGAAATGCAGGAAATACAGGAATTCATTAGTTCCAATTCCTGTATTTCCTGCATTTCCTGCATTAGTTCGTTCCATCTTGCTTAACTGAACACAGCCTAGACGGCTCTTAAGGCCTGTTCTACAATAAAGTTGTAAGTCGTAAGTCGTAAGAAATTGACCAATCACAATCGATTATTTTTCTGTGATTTATCTGTGATTGCTCTATTTCTTGCGACTTACAGCTTACGACTGTATTGTAGAACAGGCCTAAACTAGGCCTAAGGCCTGTTCTACAATACAGTCGTAAGCCGTAAGTCATAAGAAATTGACCAATCACAATCGATTATTCTTCTGTAATTGGTCTGTGATTAGTCAATTTCTTACGAC